ACTCAGTCACTCAGTCACTCAGTCAGAGAAATAATCATTTATTTGTGTAGTCACGCAGTCATGTAATCATGAGGTCTTGCCCTCAATGTCACGGAGTTAATACTTAGAACGTAGAGAAATGTCACAAATTGAAAATCAACATACGCGCAAGTCCCAAAACCAGCTTGCCAAGCAGCGTATAGCTAGTTGTATGTGGCTAATGTTGCTACGTTGATCTCACAAAGCCACTTCGCGTCATAATAAGTTAGCTGATATCCGCAAACTTTAGCGTGGAAAATTCCCAGAAATTAAAAGGAGTATTGATGGTCATGTCATTGCTATCTGCAGAAGAGGTGACAAAATCAAAAATTAAGTGCGGCAGAAATGCGACTGTGGATTCATACGTCGCACTTGTGTCGCACTTAATTCAGAATTTATACTGTCGGGTGTGTCGGCCAGCGGAAAATGTTTTAAACGTAGAGTATTCAGTATGGCGGACGAAAATACTGAGCGACATGGCAGTAGGCGGAATAGGGACTATAAACATTGACTCTTTAGAGACTGTTATTTCCAAGGCAAGAAAAAAAATCTTATCTTACGTTCGGCTCTGTATTGAGCTCGATCACACTCAATTACTGTATTTAATTTATTGATAATTATTGATATGCATTCATTTTAATTAGGAACCTGCAGCTTATTTTATGAATTTCATTTAACATGTTTTTAGTAGTTGGAAATTTTAGGGACATTGTATTTTCTTGTTTTCTGAACATTTGCAGCTTGCGAGGTGATTTATGGAATAATGAAACTTCCCAAAATCCTTTGGAGATGAAAATTGCAAATGCTAAATGAACTTAAATGTAATCGTCATTTTGAAGCCCAGATGAAAAAAAACACCCACTTCACATAAAATCTCTCTGACATCAAACTTACATTCCTTTGTAGATGGTTTGCGCAGCCAATGTCCCCTTGGCCTACAGTGGACTTTTATTTTTTAGCATACAGATTTACCACATCTGCATAATAATAATAATAACAACAACAATAACAGTCTGTTTTATTTCTAGTCAGCGATGATGTTGATACTTCCATCAATTTTCTGTTGCACCTGAATCAGTCTTGGCATCAAAATGTAAATCAGTGATGTAATCTTGTAGTACTAAAACGTTCAACATGAGCCTTAGAGAAAATCTTAGGAAGGGTATATATTTCAATTCTGGTCAGCAGTTATGTTAATGACCCTTCCATCACTAAAGTTTTGTTTTACGTAAATGTATTTGGCATCAAGGAGTACATCAGAGCTGCCATCTTCAGTGACTGATGAAATGGAAGGAAAGAGCAACGTGGTTCCCACGGACTCTCATGTTCCCGCCCTTCCGGAGCGACAGAGGAGAGACACTGGTTGGTCTTGTGCTACTTTGACAATTGAGAACATCAGGGAGGCGTCCTCTCTAATAGGCAACTCATCGCGTTGAGTTTTGTCGAATTCAAAGCATCGCGCTGCGACCGCCATCACAGGTATCCCAAGCTCCTTGGGAGCCGTGAACATTATTATGTGACATTGCGTAACAGCGTAAATATAACAATTTCTATGGGCATGTAACGATTGTATGTAATAGATCGAAAAATGGAAAAGAAATTGAATAAAAACGAATTACTTCGACTCGCCTGTTTGTTACTTTTGTCTCCATGCCGTTTTGGGGCCATTTCAACGCAATTTTAGCGAGTTTCAGTTTCATCGGTTTCCTCTCTATAAACATAGAGGCCCTGAATACTCTAAACTCATTTAATCGCCGATCACAAGGCCTACAGAGTAGATTTGGTCTTAATAAATTCAAAGGTAAAGATCTTCCATACACAGCCTAGGCCGCTGTGTCTCAACAAGAGATAACAACAAAAGTCTCTTGGTCTCAAATAACAACGTCAATAGCAAGTTTTCGTTTAGATAAATGAACTATTGATCATTACTAAAATCTCACTAAAGCAGAAAGTTTCGATTTAAAACCCCATATTACGGTGAATGCCCTTTGAAAATACCGTGTTGCCATAAAAACGTCTTGTAACAATAGCCCTTACGCGTGATGACATCAGACTAGCTAAAATCACTGCCAAGTCTTGGTTTGAGAATGCAAATTTTAGATTTAATGAATTAATTCCAAAAGCAGCAATGATGAAAAAAAATAACCACGTGAAAACAGCACGAAGGTGACCCACGCAAACGCTTCGATTAAGCGTGTCTTGCGCGCATGCTTCGTTTTTCATTTTCGCTATTATTATTATTATTATTATTATTACTATTATTATTACTATTGTTATTATTATTATTTTTTTTTTCTTTTCTTTTAAATTTTAATTTTGAGTAAAATACCTTTTTAAAAAATAATGAGAATCAGTTTGCTCTTGCCCCAACCCCCTACCTCCGCTTAATGGGGACTTTATTTTTACCACTTATTGATGAAGTTTGTCCCATTATACGCTGTTCTTAGGTGCTTGGCCCAAAATTGGACAAGTTAATGGGGTTGTATGCGGGGGCCTTGCAAAATGCTTCTAACAAAATATCTGGATGGAATGACACATGGTGTATATTAATTACACAAAGCGTGCGTTGACCGCAACAATCCATTACTTTATAGACGTTTCATTACCCAAAAAAATTATGCGAGTCAAACTATAATTATAATCAAATGCACCCTTACATTCACTTGCAAACGCGGTCACTATTTTATTACATGTATATATTATAACGTCATGGTTGCATTTACATGTCTGAAATAGTGAGTTCACAAAAGTACAAAACAACAACCTGGTATTTATTACAACTAAGGGTAAAGATTGCTTTTCTTCAATTTTCGATAGCGAGGAAAACATAATGCAACACTTTAATTTCTAAACGGACACACTTCTTTGACACGTCACTGAACTTCTCAAGATTGTCCATAACTCAAAATTATGGCATTGTCCCAACATTTCTTTTACAGGAGAAATTAAACAAAATCGAAAATATCAGTGCCTCACTTTTTTGTACATTGATCTATCGCTACTTCTGTGCGATACCTGATGCTAACAGCACATGAGACAGCACTCAAGCCTGCATTGACCAAAGACATTAAACATATTTTTGGTAAAAACATACATCTCACCTTTACTTAACATGAAACTTATTTACATGTGCAGTTGTAAATGCATGAATTTTGAAACCAATCGTTGTCTTGATAACAGTCCTTTATCAACCACGGCATCACAGTAGGAAACCTTCCAGGTTTTTCATAACAAAATAAAGATATGTTTTAGTTATAAGGCAATTGAAATGCCCCAACGAGGGCCCAATTTTTCCATATTGATTTACTGAAAGTTTCCACGACCACTGCAAACACTGGATTTTAAAGAAAAAGTTTTCTGTGAACGAGTTTGAAAGTGGAATGCACGGCAAAACGTTTGCACAGAGTGCTTTTTTACGTTACGTAATAAATCTCTTTACACCCCCACCCCACACTTCCACAAGCACACCGTCTCCCCCCTATCCAACGTCAGTTAATTTAAAGTTTTTAATTCTCAAAACCTGAGCTTTGGACGATATAATTAAATATCCAGTGGAAATAATAAATATCAGCAAAAACACCCAAAAGAATATTCGATCACAGGTGATGGCGGTGGCGCGCCAGATTTTTCTGTTGTCATCCTCCTCGACATACTCCGCTGGTTCAGAGTTATTTAACACCGCAGGCTCACATTCAGGATCGACTGGGGCTGGAACTTGCAGCTTATCTAAATCGCGTCGATTAGCGGTGGTAGCTTCACTCTCCACAGCATTTGGTTTCACAAATAACCGGCTCACACTGACTTCATTCTTTCTCTTTGGCTTGCAACTGCACATTCTGTACAGTGCTTTGAGCCAAGCTGGCGGCTCTCTAGCTGAATGGTACGCACTCAGTATAAGAATAGTGGTGGTTAGTACGAGTGCGATCTCACTCATTGTTATGGTGTAATAGATACCCAGAATCGGCAACGTGTCTGATTTTTCTGGCAGCAATTCCGCCATTATAAGCAGATAAACGCTGACTGAGGTAAAAACGGTCGTCTCGTCATTTTCTGGAGGAATTGCAAAACTGACCAGAACCAACAACGTGCAAAGTAAACAAGGAATAATCAGCAGCATGACGTAGAACAGTGGCTTTCGATTGATAACCAGTGTGTATTGGGCAAACAAGTATTTTTGATCCGGATTGGCTTTATAGTCCATTGCCGAACTAAACACTTCCTCGCTTATGTCTTCTATCTCCCATTCTCCATTATCATGATGAATATTGTCTTTTAAATTTTTATCTGCAATGAAAACAAAAGCATACGTATCAATGAGGTAGAAAATTAATCCCTGGCTATCATGGCGAAAAAATATATGGATTTCAAGCTCGGTATATAATCAAGAATCTCCTTTTCTGTTATAGATTTTAATTTGTCCTCTCTACTCAGGTTTGTAGCAAAAAAGATTCTCTCGGTTATACCACAAAAAAGTAGTCCAATCTTTTTTTAAGCCAGTCTACCAATTTTGATGGGGGTAACTCATTAGAAACGCTTTAAGATGCGTAGTTTCTTGGTAACTTTCGTTAACAGGCGAGCGCGCTCGTACTCAGCTAGTTCAAAAGAAAAGTTGATCTAATATTGATGAAGTATTTTAAGCAGATAAAACTGTTTTCAATCTACCTTTCGGTTTCATGGAATGGATGCGAAGCAACTCGATGCCGTATGTCGCAGATGCAAATAGCAGCGTACATTCCTGGGTGTCGAAACGAAAAGAACTGATTTCCACATTACATCTGCTTTTAAAGTTTGCTGGGGAATCCCATGTGCATGTTCCGTTACTGTTCACAACTACCCTGGTCTTGAACATTAATTTCAGTGTGACCTGCTCGAAGAACTCTTTGATCTTCACTACAAAACAATAAGTACAAAGATGATGGCATATATAAAACTGTTTTTGGCGTTAAAGACGACCGCTATGCGG